CTGAGCCGGATCCAGGCCTCCATCCCTCAGACCTGAGCCGGATCCAGAGACCTCTGACCTGAGCCAGATCCAGGCCTCCAGCTCCATCTGCAGACATGGTGGCAGCTTGGAGGCAGGCAGCCATTTGCTGTGCGCTGCTGGTGGTGTCCTACAGCCTTGCCTGGGCCAGCCAGGACGGGTCACATGACCCCAAGACCAGGAGCGAGGACTCTGGACACGGGGACACTGGGAACACTGGGGATACTGGGGACACTGGGGACACTGGGGACTCTGACCATGGGGTCACTGTGGACTCTGGGGACCCTGACCATGGGGACAATGGGGACTCTGGGGGCTCTGACCATGGGGACAATGGGGACTCTGGCCATGGGGACTCTGGCCATGGGGAGCCCATCACCACGCTGCCCATCGTCACCTGGAAGTGGCACCATGTGACCACCCCCTACTTTGTGGCCCTGTGGATCCTCGTCTCCTGGCTCTGCAAACTGAGTGAGTCCCTCTCTGACCTCAAAGCTTTTTTGTCCCTTTGGACAATAAAAAATAGTGCAATCTAAAACAAATTTGATTAGGACTGGCAGTGAGTGGAGTCTTTGTTTTATATCAGTGTGTATTTGTTACCCAATCATAGCAGCTCCGTAATGGAGGAGCAAACAAAGCAGCTTCTATCATCACTTATTTATGGACCTGCTCCTGCAGCTAATCCAGTTTATTAGGGACCGAATCTAAACCCAAAGCACTTTAAAGTCACAACTCTGTGCATGAAGGTCAAAGCAAAGCTCCATTTTTATTGTTCAAACACAACTTTTTAACCTCAAAGCAAAGTGAGATAATCCATATTTAGCTTGAAAGTGTTTTCCTGTGTTCTTCGCTCGTGCTTTAGTTTGTTTTCGCTTTAAAATGTGCGAGCGGAGCTCACAGGGATCCGACTGAGCGGCTCAATGTTAACGAGAGCCTGTTCGGGACATTTTCTCTGAGGTCAAAGGACTTTTTTTGGGGACGTCTGACTTTAGAGCTCTTTAGTGAAAGTTTTCAGACATTGAAGCTTATTCCTGGATCAATTCAGAGTTCGTCTCCTCTTCTACAGCTGCTGTTTTCACAGGTCGTGTGATCTGTTTTATTGATTAAATCCCATCTGTTGAGCCATCTCTGGATCCGCTAACATGGGATTTTTACCACTTGTTTGGATCTCTTTGCTTCTTCCGAAGTTCTGGTGTTTCATTCAGTGGCGCTGAAGCTGGAAATCGATGCTTATGTGAACACGTTTGATTTTTCCTGCCTTTGGAGCAGTGATACCAGCTTTCGTTTTCAGTACTCTGGGTCTTCCTGTGCTTGTGGGTTTGATTTCAGGTCCTCAGAGGGTTTGGGGGGCCGTTGAGGAGGCTGCCGACTTGTGGGAAAAGCTTTTATGAGCTCCTAAAAGCCCAGATCGAGGTCTAGGGTTTACATGAAGCTGCCCTCCTGAGGCGGCTCTCCACACAGAAACACTGCCTCAGTCCTCTGGTTGGACAGTTTTTTTTAACTTATTTTAATTTTTTTAATTAAAGATCAGCATATCACAACCATCAATACAAGATATGAAGTTATTCCACAGCTGATAGCCACCTTTTCTTTTTTTCGTTTTGATGAACAGAAAAACTGAGAAAAGACACTCCCCAGGAACAAAGGGGGGGAGTAGAGTTAAAATAGAAAAAAAAAACAATAATATATTAACAAATAGGTTATAAATGATGATAATAATGATTAATTAGTATGTGAAAATAAATTGGTACATAAACAAAAAGAGTACAATAAAATAAAATATATTCATATAAGGGGAAATATTATAATATGTTTATACATTTAGTGTACATTCAAAGTATAATAATATATATTATATATCATAATAGATAAGTAAATACAGGATGGCCAGTGTGCTCTCTAAAAAATAAATAAATAAACTAGATATAATGAAATAATTTAAGAGCGAAGCTATCAACCTGCTTTCCAGCAAAAGGAACCTCCTCAGACCAGTCGTGGGGTGAAAACCGGGAAGTGATGGCAGGGAAACTGACCTCTGGTGTCTCCGTGGCCCCTAAATACAGGCGCCGTCCATCCTGTGTACACAACAGATGCAAATGAATCGCGACTGTGTGGAAAACGCACATGACGGAGTGTGTGTTTGTGGACGTGAGCTGACATAAATATGGGAATGTGGTGGAAGTGGGACTCTGAGGTGAAGTGGGTCAGCTTTAGATAGATAGATAGATAGATAGATAGATAGATAGATAGATAGATAG